ACTGCTTCAAAACACACTGCAGCACTTCTTSGCACTCATGCACATCTACTATAGACTTTGCATGTAAACCTGATGCTCAAAACGCCTTTGGTCTGAACATATAAGGGCTAAGTGTGTAAAAAATGTAAAATAAAAAAAATTAAATTAAATTAAATTAATTGTACATAATATAATGCTATGTTTACAAAATTAAAAAATGCCACGAAGCTATGTGTGTTATGGATATAATGACAAAAAAGAAAAAAAATGTGTCACAAGTAAGCAGATAGACTAGCAGTATTGTATGCTGTTTAGGCTGGATCAGGCTAAAATAAAGAACAAAACTCTAACTCTGCTAACAATACCCTACAAGACATCAAACTTGCAGTTGTGGTTGTGTGTCCAAGCTGCACTTCAAATTTCTCGACCACAGGTACCATCCATGTTGTTTTCAATGAAAGCATTTTGAATTTAAATCTTAAATGCCATCAATTAAGGGCGTTAGCAGTGTTAACATTGTTAACTGTGTTAGCAGCGTTAGTAGTATTAGCGTTTGCTTTCGCCTCAGGCTGATGATGACATAACAAAAGCAACGCACCAGTGGTGGGCATAAATGTAAGCTTTATCATTTAACCACACCATTTTTACATTCAGATTTACAGAGGATGTGGGATTTAATATTTAGAGATAACATTTCACACTGAAATTTGACATTTAAAAAAATGCTAAATATTACACTCAGATCGTGAGCTAAATAATGAAAAGGTTTTTGTGATATTTTTCCCTTTTATTTTACACTTGGAGCGCCTACAATTAAGTCATTGTAAAGAGATTTTAAAAATTTTGGGACACAAATTCAGTTGGGCTTATTGCCAACTTAGCTTCTCCACCATAGATGTAAACAATATGCTGAATAGGCAGGGCACCCTCTAGTTGTCTGATATAACTCTATGAGTGGCTTTAACTTCTGGAGTTCGGTCTGGAGTCTAGTTATAAAACAGCTGGATGGTGCAGTCCAGTACCACCTGTTGCTGGTCTTTAAAGTATGTACAAATTTGGATTTATCAAGTCAGTTTGAACAAGGTGTGTTCACTGTTTAAAATCATGTTTCCTTTGCTCCAGCTTTTTTTTTTTAAAGTGCTTCGATTCAAACTCAACATTGGGTTTTCAAAGGAAAAAAAACATCTAAATGATGGTGGCACATTATTTTTTTAAGCATCATATTTAAACATTCCCATTAAATCACTACAAAAAAMCTGTTGAATGAAAAATCTTGTTGCTTTTTTATTTTTATTATTTCAGGGTCTGGTCATTTTTGATGCCTTTAATCGTTGTTTTTGTTGGCAAATTAGCTGATGTTGATCCAAATCTCAAGGATCTTTTGGCTAGAAAGCAGCAGGAGCTAACGTTGGAAGAAGGAAAACACTTTATTTAAGCTTTGATCGAACAGAGAGGTGTTAGATTCTTTATGAAGAATGAGTCTTCAGTTCTGTACRTACAGCGTTATCTCCCAGAGCAGTTCTGATGCTGAGTCGAACTTTGTAGGCACCTGGAGCATCTAAAGAAGAAAAACACGTAATAAAAGTTCAGGACCGGTGTCTCAGATTTGACACAGGTTTTATTCTTACTGTAGTTCAAGTCTTGTGAGGCAAACATCTGAGTTATGTGTCTAATCTGACTGTGTTCCAGCAGAGAGATTAGAAGCTGACAATAGGCTAATACAGGCCAGCTGGAGGTTTTACACTAACAAAACCTGTTTGTTCAGAGCATAATAAAAGAAATGTGATACAGATATGTAACTAAAAGTTACAGTTAAGCAGGTCACATACCTGGTTTACAGAGCTCTGCTGACAGAACAGGCAGCAAACAGAGCACGAAAACGATTCTTTCCAACATTTCCCCGGACAAGACGAAAGAAAATGAACCGAAGCTGTGAATCTAAAAATAAAATGAAAAACCCACTCAGAGTTCAGTTTTTGAGGAGGTCAGCAGAGGAGCTTGACAGGATCAAGTCTGGGTTTAATCGTTAATCCAGGACACACCTGAACTCGCCCATCCTCCTATAAGGAAATGGCAGTCTCTCCTGGATGCGGTTAATGTGTTTGTGTTTGTTCAAGGAGCCAGAGAGCTTTAACGTGAAAGGCAGGAGGGAAACACAGTGTTTGTGCACAGCACTGTGAGTGGCCCAGGCTTTTTTATGTTMAGTAACAAGAGTCTGCTGTGTTCTGAGGCACACACACAGGAGCATAAAGAAATAATTAGACCAAATCTGCGTTTTGTGTTTTAACTGTAGCAGCTGCATTCTTTATAAGGTCAAAGTGGGCTTACAAAACTAGTTTGTGTAAGAATTGTTTCTTTGTAACAAGTTGTTCTGTTCTTATTATCTGCTTTAATCTTGATCTGTGATAAGATTTCGTGTTAAAACTTCCACATATTCACAAAAATGACTGCTGTGCAAAAACTCAGCAGAAAATCTTGGTGAATCATTTGTGTATTTAGAGTTAATCATCCATTTCACCCTGAAAATCATTTATTTTTGAACCAGTTTGGAGTGAATTCTGCTAAGCCGTCATTTGCTGTAAAAAAAAATAGCACATTGTTGCCTCATTATGAGGCAGCCCGGATCTTCACTTTAGCTCTGTCCACCCGAAAGTGAACTTTGCTTCAATAAAATGGAAGCGATTTACGTAGAAATGACAACACCTGCAGTAAAACGCATTGCTGAGATTTTACAGCACTGCTWAAATTAAAACAAATTATTTAGATGTGATTTTTTTTCATAGTGCAAGAAACAAAAGWTTGTTTAAACAAAGATAAATACAATTATAAAAAATCAGTTGAGCTCCTTTAAATATTGTCAGGCAGCAGAGTTGTAAAGTAACTAAGTGCAAATACTTCTTTATGGTACTTAAATACAATTTTTGGATATCTGTCCTTTACTTGAGTTATTATTGTTCAGCCTTCTTTTTACTTCTACTTTTTACATTTTCACACTATTATCTTTACTTTCTACTCCTTACATTTTTAAAAAAAGACAAGAAGTAGAAAGTCATTACTTTTATTTCATTTTTGCTTGTTTTTATTCCAGCTGCTTATTGTAAAAAATAAATACTATCCACATAAATTGTGCCTCCTCGATAGAGTGAATTTAATTGTGATTGAACAAGAAGTATAAATATATAAAATTCTGATACCGTAGTAGTTTGTACATATACAAATCATGTCACACTCCAGCAGGACATAGTCATCTAAATAAAAGGATTGAAGTATTTGTAT